GGCTGGAATATAACTAGAATTTAATATACATTTTCTGGACAAATGAGCAAAAACATAAATACTAAAAAATTAGAACTTCCTAACAATCAAACACTTTTCTGGTGTAGAGAGAGTAACCATGTTTGTGTGTGGCAGAGTGCAGGGATGGGCTGCTCTGGAATTTAGAGGGGTTACTGATGCATAACTCTGCATACTACTGAGTGGCGATGCTCTTGGGTTATCTGTCACTCAGTGGCCCTGGAAATGTGAGCAGCCTCAAGAAGAGGCAGGCACGAGGTACCTGGCGTGCAGGGTCCCTTGCTGGGAAGATTGGAACCACCTAGATGTGTGATTCTTGAGAACACGCAGAAATCACTAGCAGGAGCATGGCCCTAAGATCCCAGACGCCAGTGGGCTTCACCTGGATTCCTTTCTTTATTCTTTACACAGAGTTTGGAGTCCCTTATGTAAAATACCCCAGGCCAGAGCAGTTCAGAATTTGGAGCATTTGTGTATACATTCTTGGCGATGAGACCAACATCTAAACATTGAATTCATTTATGTTTTACACACACCTTATAAACACAGACTTCAGCCTGCCTATGTTTTGACTATGACCCAAAATGTAAGGTTAGCTACAGAATTTTTAACTTGTGACAATGTTCCAGTGCTCAACAAGTTTTGGACTTGGGACCATTTTGGATTTGTGATTTTTAGGTTGTGGATGCCCAAATGTAGTCTACCAGCCAGGCACTCTTCCAGGACTGGAAATATACCTGTGAATGGAAAAGGAACAACTCTGAACTCACGGAGCAGTGTGGAGTCCGGCTCCAGAGGCAGTGAAACCTCAAAGCTCTGCTTCTGAGGTCTCAAAAGCCATCCAAGCCCAGTGGGACGTGCCAGAGCTGACTGTGCATCGGGTGTGTCGGTGGTGGGACTCGGGGTGCCACAGCCATGCAGACGCCGTGGATGGGCAGCACACGCTGCGCCCCTCGCAGGCCTGTTCAGGCCTCCAGACAGCTGATGTGGCAGGGAGCCAGGATTGTGAAGGCCCACCAAAGTCTTGGAAGAGGGAATGCTGAGAGGTTTGGACCCAGCAGAGTGCAGCAGCAGCATAAGCAATGGAAGCGGCTGCCCCTGGTAGGTCGCAGCCAGAGTCCGCCCTGCACTGCACAAAGAAGGTGCCTGATCTGGCTCAAAAATCACAGCTCCAGCACCCTTCAACCACCGCATGGTATGCAAATGACACAGAATAAGGAGCTTCCCAAGACAGAGGGATAGAGACATAGAGAAGTTACGACAAGAGGCAAAGAAAGAAACTACATTATAGGAGCTGAAGATTTAAACCAAAAATAAAAACATTATTTTGATGAGCCCTGATTTGCTGGCTCCAACTGTCCTTCTGGACTTGGCTGGACCGAATGGCTCATTTGTGGTCCTGTGATAAATAATTCATCCATCCAAATTTATGCCCTTACTAGAAAAGGGCCTTCTAGAGTCCAACGACTTCCCAGCTCTTTTAGCTATGACTGTGGCCTAACACTCCTGCCCCCTTCAGGCTCCCTGAATCAAGACATCTTTATTCCTAATGGGAGGCCAGGACAAAATTCTGCTGAGCAGAGGGTTTCCTGAGCTTGGTACAGAGATTCAAAGATGACCCATAAATAAAAATAGTGAGTCTGAAGTTTATTAAACATCTATTCTCTCTCAATGTCTCAAAAGCTCTTGAGGGAACCCACTTGCTTCCCTCTCATAATGAGCCCACAGAGCCTACAAATATCATTTACTCCACTGACCTTTGCTCCTGGGCAGCCCCCAACCCCCTCCAATGTGGACTGGAAGAAATAGGTTTTAAATTGCTCGGGCACACAGAGGAAGGAGTTAGAAGCAGAAATCATTATAAATGCAAACTCTGACTGGTCTTTCAAGTCATTATTCCAAATCCCAAGATTCATTCATTTTGCTGCTGATGCCTTGTCCTGGGTGTAACAGGAGTCTTGGTGACAATTATCTAGGTCCCATCGTATTTGCCAACTATCGGAGCCATAATTCTACTCTAGACTACTTTAACGCATGCTTGTCAGGGAAGCGGGCACTAGATAATGGGATTGCTGATATCTTCAGAAAGGCATTTAGTTTTCAAGGATGAATATCTGCCCCTTTGGTCAAAATTCCAGCTGCACTCCTTGGTTAGTCTGGGCCTAACAGGTCTCTCTGCTTGTCTTCCCCTGGACATCAGGGACTTCAGCTTTGGCCTATTTCCCACTCTCTGACAGGGGAAGTAGAAGGTAGGTAAGGAAGAGTTCTTTTAAAATTTTCAAGGCTGAGCAAGACATTCACAAGGCTGGGTTAACAGAAGGGTGCGAGACAGTAAGGACACGCTGCTGAGAACCAACCCTGTCACGTGTTAAAGGAGCCTGAACTTCTCCCACACCCTCATGTGGAGAAAGTAAAATGAGGAAAACGG